CCGTCCATGTTTAAGCAACAATGTACAGTTCCAAAAGCATTTGAGGAGAAATAAGGAGATGAGGTGATAATGAAAATAATTTAATAAAGCATAAGGTAACTAACTAATTAGATGTCAACAATGTAACACTGACTGAATTAAGTACTTATGCCTGCATAAAGACTGTCCTGGGAAATGAAAACAATGTAATGTACTGGTCGATGGAGACAGTAGTTGCTTGAAATCTTGTTCAAGATACATGTTAAGCTGCTACTCACGCAGTTACACATCTCTGTTCTTGCTCCTTCTCATCTGTATTCTAATTTTGATAGACATTGCCTCTTTTTCTCTCTGACCAGCTGACTATAGGGGGTGGAACTTCCTTTGCTGCAACTTTTTTTCACAGCTGCCTTTGATCCTTCCACAATGTCAGGAGGAATATGAGCTCGAGCTAAGGCAGCAAAACCTCCTCTCCCTACACCTCACCATTAGCCTTCCTCCTCCACCACTTCTCAGGTCATGAATGCCAGCTCCCTAACTATCTAAATGTATCCTAGATTTTATAGGCTATTTTTCCTTTTACAATGCATAAACCCTGAACTAATTTGTTTATTTCTGTTTGGTTGGTTTGAATGTTTTTTTTAATATGATGCTGTAAAAAAATCAGATATGTCTGCAAAAAGTTCAACCTGTACCTTTACATCTATGCAAAAAAAAAAAAAAAAAAAAAAAAAAAAAAAAAAAAAAAAAAAAAAAACCAAAACAAAAAAAAAACATAAATTTTGGCAGAGAGACAATGAATACTTAAGTACTGCTGTTGTCCTTTGTAGGAATAATATCTAGAAATGGGAATGTAACTTCTTGTTCATATATGCCTTTTCAGATACCCTGAAACTGAACTTCTAGATTCTTCTCTAACTGTTCATGAAGAGTATAAGACAATTATTTTCTTACAAACTATATTGTTTCACGTGTCTAGTTTAGTATAGGTGACAGTGACCTTAATGACTGTTAAACTACACCCAAAGTATGAGCTTTTGGACCATATCTGAGCCCCAAAGGTTCCTTATCAGTAAAAAGGTAAGTGCTTGGTGCTTTGAGGGAGATATTACACATAAATCTGTTAGATAAGTAAGTAGTGCAGATAAGATTTCCATTCAATGTTAAACTGGTCACATATTTTACTAAAACCTACTTTTATGGAAATAGTTGCTTGAAGAGATGCATTTGTATTTTTCCTTAAATGGAAGAATAAATTTGGGGCCTCTTACAAATTTTGTTCCCTGTGTCCAATTTAGTCTCTTTCTGTATTTCTGAGAGAATCATAATTCCTTGTTCATGGAGAAAAAAAGTAATGTAGAAATACCACAAGATGTTTCTAATATTAACTTTAAGCTTGTGCAGTTTCAACCACATTAAACTGTCATGCGAATGTGACAGGTTTTAAGTGCTTATCAAAAATAGCTTATTCAGGAGATACCAAAGTGCTTGTCAATTTCTTATATTTGAACCAATACTTTTGTAGAGTGTAGCAAAAAAAAAAAAAAAAGAGTATGTTGGTCTGCCCAGATGGCAAAATTTATGATTGAATGATAAAAATTATAATATCCAGTGAAGGCATAAATTGTGGGATTCACCATATTTGTGATCATATATTAACTGCTTGTATATTTTCTAGATTTATTCTTCATCAGCTTATGTGTCATTATCATTAAAGCCATCCTCTGCTTTTCCTTGCAAAGAGTATATAGATTAATTGTGGCATAGCAGGTTTTTCATTCCTGTTTTGCTGTTAAGTCCTTCCCTTGCAGTATCAATAAAACTGTCTTGGTTCAAAATCTCTTTTCAAGCTGCTCTTTACAACCAAAGCATATTTAGATGGATCTATTGCCTTAAAATGCTATGTCAGCAAACCCACTGAGTCTAACTCCTGCACTTAGTTGTGAGGTAGTTGTTCATTTGTTGATTTTTGGTTTTGTTTTTTTTTATCAGTAGGCATACTGATACATTTTTTGTAATCCAAAATGCCAATATTCCTTCTTCTTTTGCCTAACTAAAATCCCACATATAGTGTGTAGATGTGGTGGGTAAATAATTATGCTTCTAGTCACACAGCAACATAGCCAAGAAGCTCTTCTGTTAGATTTGTGTTGGGAGGAATGGGTTAAAGCTTGGAAGACTGTTGAGAAGGATTGTAAATCACTCAAGTGACCTTGCAGTTGGAAATAACTCTTGATAAGCCTTTGAGAACCAGAGCCCATTGATCCTCCAGCACAAATGATCTCTGCTTGTGCCTCTGCCTGATGCTGCTCTGGGCATCCCCTCATTAGCAAGGTAAATGGAAATAAATTTATTGGGTTTTTTCTAACTGCAAGTTTGTAGCTGTTCTACCTGCCTGCCTGTGTCAATTCACAGTTTGAAACAACACCAATAACTTATTTAAAACTTAAGTAAATTTATAGAATTAAATAAGTATCTGTCTCATCAGAAATGAGGCATATGTCATGCTTTATGAATACATGAGTCAGGGTCCTCATGTTGCAGTATTTTAAATAGTTCGTCTCTTTTTATACTGCCTGGATTTCAGGTTTTTGTGTATGCTGTGTTTGTGATGTCATTTGCCATTCAGTATCATAAAGTCCTGGCACAATCCTTCTGGCAAGGCACATCCTTACTGACCTGTCTAACTTAGCATCAGCAGCAAAGTTGCTCATCTCAATGTTCACAGGGCTCCATTTTTTGCACAAGCTGCATTTATGAATGTACTGGATAGCCCAGGTCCCAGCACTGATCTCTGCAGAGCTGTAGTGGCAAGTTTCCTCCATTCCAGGAGTTAAGCATTAACTCATACTCCCTTCTTCAATTTCCTTCCTGTCTGTTAATTATTTATCAAACCTAAGTGTGAAGTTCTTATTTGAGGTTTAAGCCTTCGTTTAAGGCTTAAGGTTCCTTTCAAACTAAGCCTGCTTCAGGAAACTTGGCGAAAAGCCTTTTGGAAATCCCATAGACTCTGTTAACTAGATCCTCATTGCTTACTGATCCTTTTAAAGGATTTAAAAGCTTTTTCCTGTGATAATAAACAAAGCCAAAGTTTGCAGTACATTTTAAAAATGTGTATAATGAAGCAAGTCCCAGGTGATTACTGGGTATGGTATGTAATCCAAAAAACAGTGTTTAGACATCTGGTCTCTAAGCTATGTTAATTACTCCTAATAAAAGGCTTTATGTCTTAACTGAGGCTTTACCATCTGGATTAATTAATTTTCCAAGGTAAGTAATGATAACTGTGTGATAAATACATAGCTTATAGACTGTAGGGTTCCATTATTATTTGGAGGCAATCTGTAAGTATGTTGTGAAAATGTGAGAAACACTTCAAATAGATATATAAACTTCAGTATCCAAAATAATGCAAACAGGACCACTTAATTAAACATATGAAATAATTACTTCCCAGTGTCTTTAATTCTAAGTGCATTTTGATCTACCCAATATGGTACTGGTGATTATTTTTCTTAGGTCAGATATCTTTTATGTAAGATATTAGGAAGACACTACTCTAAAGGTATTTTGGGAGGTAATCTTAGAATTTATTTTTAAGAACACTTTCTTGTTTATTAAATTAAGGAGTAACTTTTTATTTTTAACACATTTTTATTTACTTTGCATTTGTACAGTTTGTTTCCAGAGTCCACGATTGATAAGTTGTGACCATTTGAAGGTTTCATTAAAATTTATACCTTAAAAATGATCACTTTTTGGAATTTTAAACCTTATAAAAGAAGAGACTGAAGCATACCATAGACAAATTGATAGCCAATACTGACAATTTAAATAAAACTCCTACTGCATTAATGCTGTTTTGTACTCAGCTGCAGATTTTGTGGTGAATGTAGAAAGCCCTTTGCAGAAGACAATGGTGCAGCACACCAGATTTCTTCTTCAGCTCCTGAACCTGATAAATGATGGCAGAAGAGTTGGTTTGTCCGAACAGACTGCTCAGTGCCTTGGGTTTCCCCATCACTGGGCCAGCTCTGTGCCAAGCACTGCCCAAGCACCAGCACAGGCTGGGACTGAAGCGCGGCTCTGTGGAGAAGGACCTGGGGGTACTGTTGGACAACACGCTGTCCATGAGCCAGCAGTGCCCCTATGGCAAGAGGGTCAACAGGATCCTGCAGTGCATTAGGAATAGCATTGCCAGCAGGTCGAGTGAGATGATCCCGCCCCTTTACTCAGCCCTGGCAGGGTCATACCTGGAACGCTGTGTCCAGTTCTGGGATGCCCAGTACGGAGAGACATGAAGCTCCTTAAGGGGAGGGCGACAAAGATGATGAGGGGACTGAAGCATCTCTCTTACCAGGAAAGGCTGAAGAAGTTGCACCTGTTCAGCCTCGAGAAGAGATGACTGAGAGGGGTCTTTATCAATGTTTGTAAGTATGTACATGGAAACTATCAAGAGGATGGAGTCAGGTTCTCCTCAGTGGTGCCAAGCAATAGGACAAGAGGCAATGGGCAGAAACTGATTCAAAGTAAGAATACCTTTATTTCTGTGCGAGTGACGACGCGTTGGAACAGATAGTGGAGTATCCTCCACCAGAGATATTCAAGAAGTGTCTGGACGCAATCCTGTGCGATGTGCTCTAGAATAACCCTCTCTGAGCAGCTGAGCAGGGAGGTTGGAACACACGACCCTCTGCAGTCCCTTCCAACCTGACCTATCCTGTTATGCCGTGAGAAGCGAGGCCCGGCCGCGCCCCGCCGGCGCCCGCACGGCCGGCGCGCCGCGATGTCGGGGAGCCTCCCGCCGCTCCCGGCGGCCGGAAGCTCCCGCCTCCCGGGGCGAAGGCCGCGGGGCCGCCGCAGGTGAGGCTGCCGGCGCGCTGCAGGTGTTGCGTGACTGCTCCCGGGCCCCTGGGCGCTCTCCGCCCGGCTCGTCCTTCCCCGGCGCAGGCTGCCCTTGGCACCCCGCGGCAGTTCCCTCACGTCCGGTGAGCCGAGCGGGGCCGGGCTGAGCACCGGCCATGTCGCGGAGCTCGCAGGGCAGGCGGCCCGGCAGGTCCCCACCGCCCCGCGGGGCCAGCCCCGGGTCCGCCGCCGCCCCACTGCCGCCGCCACCGCTGCCCCTGCAGCCCCCCCTCGGCCCCGGCCGGGCCAGCCCGAGCCCCGGCGGGCTGGCAGAGCTCAAGCCGGTTCGGCGGTTCATTCCGGACTCCTGGAAGAACTTCTTCAAAGGGAGACGCCACCCCGGTTCCAGCTGGGACAGCACGACCTCCGACATCAGGTATATCTCAGACGGAGTCGAGTGCTCGCCGCCTGCCTCTCCCGCCCCGCTGCAGCCGGGGACCAGGACGGTGCCTGGCTCCTACACGGACCCATTCGGGGGGTCGGGCGGGAGCTACAACTCTCGGAAGGAGGCCGAGGCCATGCTGCCCTCCGGAGACCCCTCGGGCTCGCTGGAGCGTCGCGCCGGCACTGGGCAGACGTACAGCGAGCGGGTGGAGGAATACCACCAGCGCTACGCCTACATGAAATCCTGGGCAGGGCTGCTCAGGATCCTCGGCGTGGCCGAGCTGCTGCTTGGCGCCGCCGTCTTCGCCTGTGTCACCGCCTACGTACACAAGGACAACGAGTGGTACAACATGTTCGGGTACTCGCAGCCCTACGGATACGGGGCGGGCAGCGCCTACGGGGGGTACTCCTACAGCGGGCCCAAAACGCCTTTCATCCTGGTGGTGGCGGGAATGGCGTGGATCTTCACCATAGTGCTGCTCGTGCTGGGCATGTCCATGTACTACCGAACTATCCTCCTCGATTCCAACTGGTGGCCTCTGACCGAGTTTGGGATCAATGTGGCCTTGTTCATCCTGTACATGTCTGCTGCCATAGTGTACGTAAACGATACCAACCGAGGTGGGCTGTGCTACTACCAGTTGTTTAAGACGCCGATAAATGCGGCTTTTTGCCGTGTGGAGGGTGGTCAGACTGCTGCAATAATCTTCTTGTTTGTCACGGTGATCCTCTATCTAATTAGTGCGATGGTGTGCCTAAAGTTGTGGAGGCACGAAGGGGCGAGGAGGCACAGGGAATTAATGGAACAGGAGGTAAGTCATTAGTTATCGTTTTCTATCTGTGGGGTACCATATGATGGGGAGCAGCTGTAAGATCTTGCCGTGGTGTAGACTGCGTCAAATCAAGTGTCTTCTCTACAGCAGATCTGTATCCTTGAGGTTGAATTTTAATCAGTCTTTTAAGTATTAGAAACTGACAAATGAAAGGCATTTTTAAGGTGTCAGATTCAAAGTCTTGGACGTGTTTTGGTTTATGTTTTTTTTTAATGTTTATAATTCACCTTGGGTAAGGACCTGGCTCTGTTCTCTATATAATACTGGGCTCTCTTCTTGAGTCAGCTGATGAAATACTTCCTAGTGTGTATTTTCCAAACAAAGGAAAAAATGAACAATGTTCATCTGTTCAGCACGGTTAGGTGGCTTAAAGCCTCCTAGCATTTATTCGAAATCTGTGCGTTCAGCACATCAAGTGCTAGTGTGGATAAACTTAAGAATGTGAAATACTTACTTTAACTCCAAGCAACTTCTTTATGGCTTTACAGTTTTCTCACAAGAGTTATCAGCAAATATTTGTAAAAACAGCCTTGGCTAGATTTTGATGTCTCAAATTTCAGTCAGACACATCTTTCTCATGTCAGATATTTTGCCTGGCTACTGGCCTTGCCCATACTAGAAGCATTCAGCATTTGCCTGGTTAATGATAAACTATAACAGTAGAGATTTAACACTCTTATCTAGAGAGTTGAAAGTAATTTGTGTAAAACTTCCTTCATTTGAAAACATCACCAAAAGACCCTTTAAAAATGAATACGACTTAATATAGCATGAAAATCAATACATGTGAAATGTACATATGCCTAGATTAAGGGGGGGGTCAGCCTTTAAGGGCTTTTAGAAGAAGAGAGTTTAAAGTTGCATTTCCTCTGCTCTTTGACTGCAGTCTGATTTGCAGCATTTTTATTTAACACTGGCTTCCAGTTCACCATCTTGCATAAAATTGAGACTTTTGTTTTGAAAACTAATTATAATTCTTCAATAAAAGTTTTTTAACCAACTGATAGTATGTCCTGCAAGAGTGAGGTGATTGGCAGAGTTGTACACAAAATGTTCATTCTTCCCTGTGACTATCCAAGTTCTTTTAGTCCACTTACTAAACATTTCTAAAGGGAATACTTTAATAATAGAGGTTAGAGACTGGCGCATGCTGTGCAAAGCACCTGCAGGTTGAGCTACTGGTTAGTGCACTGTTGTGTCCTATGTAATGAATTAGGCTCAGCGTGTTAGTGAGTTAACGTGGATTGGAATGTGAAACAATAATAAAGGAGCTTGAGAAGTGGATGGAGTATTTCCTGCAGTTCCTCACATCTGTTCTTTACAGCTGTGCTCTGGGACATCCTATTGTTCTAGGGTTTGTGTGGCTGTTTTCCTTAACAAGTCTTTAAATCAGTGGACCTGAAAATACTCCTTATGCTAAATTTCATCATATCTAAGTATAAATGTAATTTTCTGTACAGTATGATTTTGAAAATGTTTAAATGTTAGCAGTCTGTGATTTTGCATACTATTTTTGCTGTAAATAAAATTTAGTTATTTCCTTTTTTTTTTATAGATGAAAACACAATCCTCTTTTCCAGAAAAGAAGGTAGGAAATAGGAATTAATTTTTCTGTTTACTGGTAATTCTAAATTATTATTATTTTCCTTGTGACTATTTTTATTTATTTATTTATTTATTTGACATCAGGGAGACTAGGTTTAATTTTTTAAGTTAGTTTGGATGGCAGTCTCCTGTGTAGAAGATTCAAAAGGAGGTTGAAAAGAACTTACTCCTAGTTAGGCTAGGTGATAACATCTATAAAATTGTAAAATAGCCGGTGTGATGGCTGCCTCTCTGTGTGCTCTTACCCTTTTCTATGAGGTGACAAGTTCTGTAGCATTTATCACAGAGTTTGGCAGGCATGATTAAAACAATAGGTCATCTGATGAGAGGTAGATTTGAGATGCTCTTTCTTCCTGGCTGTGTGTTTAATTTTCAGGAGAGCCAGCGGAAGCACAGTGTAGGTGCACTGTGAGTTGAGCTTCTTCCTTGATCTCTGAGACTGCCTCAAAGATGCCCTTGCCAGTGTAAGCATCAGCAGTGTTAGTGTTTCAGCCACACAAAGTGTCATTGCATACATTGCAAAGATGGCATGGGCTTTCCAGAGAAATTATGATGTATTAATTTCAGCCTTAAACGTCTCCTCATAGACACTGTGAATTTACTACCACTGTTTTCTCTGTTGATTCGGTACTTGATCAGGATCCTTTTGTTTTTGTTGTAAGATTTCACATTTATTTCTGGATCAAAGGATGAATTGTGCAATAGGAAGCAAGTAGAAAAGGGAACTCCAAAGAACTGAATGATTCCAGTTCATTCACAAATTAAATGAATACTGAAGGAAACTTCCTTACACTATTCTTTTAAGACATTCAAACAAATCTTTCCAAACCTTCCTATCGGTACTGCTGTTAGGAAGAACTTAAGAAAAAATACTGCATGAGAAGCATTACTGTAAGTCATTAAACTGATCATCTAATTGCAATAAAAGTTGTAAGAAATATCTGTGATTTGCTTCTACTGCTGCTCAATATATGTATCTCTGTCTTAAAGTTGCATATTTTGTGACTTATGTGAAACTTATTTCATTAAGAACAAATTCTTTCTCTTTTAAAACAGTATGAAGGTGATGACAGACCAAGGGAAGAAGTCAGTTACAGGCAGCTCAAATCACTGGAAAGAAAACCAGAGCTACTTAATGGTCATATACCTGCGGGTCACATTCCTAAACCTATAGTGATGCCAGACTACTTAGCGTAAGTGACTTGATTTTGATGGACAGCTTAGTGGAGGATACTTGAATAGTTTTTCACTCTGCATTTCTCCAATGGTTTCTCTCCCATGCACATGCTATGGGAACTCACAATTGTGTGTTAACAATAAAAAGCAGACACTATGGGGCTGGTATCAGTGGCATAAGACTAATAAATACAAATAAGGAGTCTTAATTAAAAAAATAAACCCCCACAAACCTCAAATGTAGAAAGAGAATGTCATAATCTAGCAAGTACACTAACTGCCAAAGGAACAGAAGACCACTATATATATATTAGAGGAAGAAACTAAAATACATGGGAAATTGCCTTTTTATGGCCTGAAATTTGACTACTCATATACTTTCTAATGCTGAGTTTGTAACATGCTCCGTTTTAAAAGGTAGGCTTTTCCAAGTCTGATATCATAAATTAATTTTTATGCTATTTGCTATGTGCACAAATAGAAACAAGGGAGGTTTCATTTGAATATTAGGAAAATATTTTTGCTCATTGAGGGTTTGCCAGAGAGACTGAGTCTCCATGCTTGGAGATGTCAATAGCTGTCTGGGCATAGTCCTGGTCCAAGTGTTCCTGATTGTGCAGAAGGTCAGATCAGATAACCTCCAGACATCTCCTACAACCTCAACTATACTGTGATTCTCTGATTTCAGTGCTTTACAGATGTGCAAATTTCAGCAGGTTATGAGATTAGCAAAAAATACACGGTCAAGGTGAAGAATCTAAATGTTGTTAGTCAGTTTTATCTCTAAAACTAATTCTTCAAATTTTTTTTTTTTTTTTTTCAGGAAATACCCTGTAATTCAAACAAATGAAATGAGAGACCGGTACAAAGCAGTGTTCAATGATCAGTTTGCTGAGTATAAAGAACTGTCTATGGAAGTTCACGCTGTATTAAAAAAGTTTGATGAGCTGGATGCATTGCTAAAACAGCTTCCACACCATCCTGAAAGCATATATGTAAGTACCTGTGAAATGGGCTCTTGAAAAATAGTTGTATTAGGTGGTATTAGGCCGTTTTTGACTGTCTTCAGGTAGGGCACAATGTCTTCTAAGGTGGCTGTGACCTGGTGTGAGAGGAAGTTTCCCCATATGTTACATCATCTCTGGGCATTAGTTAGCGATACCAAGTTTCAGTTAAGACATATACATGGTTTTCTGGTGGTTTTTGTTTCTTTGTTTCATACTAGTAGCTTTTAAGTTCTAGTGAGTCACAGTTGATATATTTTCATTATTTCTCAAATACAAGATTTACATCTAAAATGTTATAACCACACAAGGTATTGATTAAATGAGAATTCTGATGAGTATTTTGTAGTACATACATGCATATGTGGAACACACTCCAAGTTTAAAATCTGTGGCTTCTCATTAGGAACAGGAAAGGATATCAAAAGTTCTGCAGGAATACAAGAAGAAGAAAAACGTAAGTATTTTAAATTCACATTGCTATTGAATCTAATAACTATCCAAGAGAGTGTAAACAGACAATACTTCTGATGCTAGGCAGATTTCAGTATCTCAGGGTACCTGTAGTGTTTTGTCTCTTTTGTCTTCTAAAACTTTGGCAAAGTTAGGTCACAACCTATACACTCATGCCAACGAGCATTTTTGAGAGTAATGATTCCAGTAGCCACATGTGAGGAAAAACCAAGAGCTGAGCATTTGCATCTTCTGAGAGTATGTTTAATCTCTTAGCATTCAGCATTCAGAAGATTAGTTCAGTTATATTCACTGACTGACACAGCCAATGGATAAAACCAGAAAACATAGTCTTACACGTGAAAAGAAATTTTGTATTTTTTGAGGCATGGAATTTAGACACTCTCAGAAGGTAATTTTCAGTGTAATCCAAGAGGTTTCTCTTCGTAATTTTTAAATGCAGTAAGCAAATATGTATCTGTGTTCTATTAAAAACATTATGCATTACATATACACATTTTTTTCTCCATGGAATTTATGTCCTTGCTAGTTCATTGCTTTTTTTTGGAGGGGAGTGATGTATTGCACATACAACAAACACATGTGTAAAGTCTAAATTACATATTAGGATGTCATTTATATTTGCAGATTCCTGCTTTAAAATAGCTCAATTTATAGCATATAAAGGCAGAACATTTTATTCTGGGCTTTCATGAAGGAAAGGGAAACAGGAAATAAGAAAGGGCCGGGGGAAAAGAGTGTGATTTTTTTGAGAATATTTACATACTGTCCTTTTAGTCAAGAAGATAATTGATCATAGACTATTATTGGAAGTCTGAAAGCCTAATATATTAATGTAAAGGTTTTTGTATTTTTGGCAGGATCCTGCATTTCTGGAGAAAAAGGAGCGTTGTGAATATCTGAAGAATAAGCTTTCTCACATAAAACAACGAATTCAGGACTATGATAAAGTTATGAATTGGAATGTAGAAACTTAGTAATGTCTTCATGGATACTATTTTCTGGTTTTAAAATTGATATGCGTATTTTAACCTATTTATTTAGTCTTTGAACAGTACACTTATGGGGATTTCTTAATCACTCTCATATTTGATGTTGTATATTACTGACAGGTTTTGTATGCAGATCCGGTTGTAATTGAAGTTAAGAGATAAGTTAGGAAACTGCTGCTAACATTCTGCTTTCATTAATGCAAATCCATGACCTCTTAAATATTAATACTTTATTTGAAAATGCTTCATTTGCAAACTTGCAAAGCCTACCAGAGAAAGCAGTTTCCACATACGTTGTGGACACTTTGCACAGAAATGCTATTAACAATTTTGGATTTTATTTATATGTGACATCTTAATGCTATCAGAAAGAGCTGAGCTGTTCTGTGTGGGGTTTGACGCACTGCCTGATTGTATTGAATATTTTGGGCAATTCAGAAGCTAGTTTAATAAGAAATGTTGTATTGTAATTCCAAATGCTGTCAATTATACCAGAAATCATCTTGAATTTTGCCTAACAAGAGAGGAAAAATAGCTTCTTATTTAACCAGCTAGGGGAAGGGGACTTGGGTTTGGTTTTCGTATTGGCCTCTTCAGAGATGATGAAACAAATCTATATTTGGCCTTAAAGGAATAGAGGTACAGGATGAGGCATGTTATTGTGCCATTAGTGTTGCTATAGGTCAGTGTGCTCTGCCTGCCTTCTGGATCACGCTATGAGGGGTACGTGTGTTCAAGGGCTTCACTCTTTATTAGCAAGTAATAGGACTTCTTGTCTATGCAGCAGGTGTTAATTTCATTTTGCTGTACTCACTCTCTGAGTACATTAAACAGTGTACAGCAAAATGAATTCTCATTCAAAGTATAAATTGTTAGTATCCTCTTTAAGGCCAGATAAAATGTATTAAAAGACATACTTTCCAGAACATATTTGCATAAATTCTATATATTTTTTTATTTTCTTGGGGATATTATGCTGACTATAGCTTCGTGCAAGTATTTTCGTAAGCCAGTAAATTTTCTCTTTGTATCTTTTTTCATATCTTTATTTACTTTATTAACTTTTTAAACTTACTGTAATTGTTAGAAGCATTGATGGTTTTTGTACAGTTTTCTACGACTGCAATTTGTCTGTTCTATGTTTTTTAATATTTACAAAACCCACCACTGTAGCCATATTAGTCTATTGCTTATAAAGACATTTTGTTTGAAAAAGGTGCTCTGATTACAGTTACTGCAAATTTTTGTTAGTGATTTGGTTTTTTCTTTGAAAGAAAGTTTTACCTTCTGCGTTTATTCAAAGGAACAACATCAGGAAAGCCATTTCCAGTTTAGTGGTAGTACTACCTCTGCTCTTCACTGCTGGAAATGTATTAACATACCTCACTGTGACGATTGTAGCTCTGCTGGCTTTTCAACCATTATCATTCGAGCTGCAATCCTGATGGCCATTCACCCCCCTTTGTATTTGTAAATTTGACATTCCAGTTTTATTAGCCATTTAATTCCCAGAGCTTTAGTGGATGACGTAAATAGCACAAGATGTCATGGGAACACTGAGAGAATTTGAAAATTCAGCATGTCTTCATTTCAAAGTCTTCAGTCTCTTCTACTGGAAGGTGCCTCAGTATTTTCATCATTCTGAGAGCAGGTGACAGCTAATGCTATGCCTTGTTCTCTCTCTTTTCAGTGCCTTTCTCTTTGGTTCTGGTTTGTATTCATTTCAAAGGAGAAACCTCTTTTCCTTATAAAGGAGATGGGCCAATTTTTTTATATTTGTTTTGCTGAATACTGGTTAAATTGTTCTTTTTAAGAGAAGTACTTGTCCAAATCTCCACAATCTAAATAAATGACCTCTCACTGTACACCCGAGTTTCTCATTTTTCTCAGTGAGAGTTCTGGGCATTGCATCAGTAACAGAAGAAGATAAGTGCAAGTTTGATAATCAACTGGTGTTCATAAAGTGCTAACAATAACATGACTGATGTTTTCTTCAGAAGATTCACAGTCTGCACACTTAATAGGGTAACGAGACCCAGCTCCAGGCTCCTTTTGACAGTGGTCTGAGCTCTAGTCTTGGTGAAGCTGGCTCCTAATCCCTCAGACAGTGTTTGCATAGCCTGTGGAGAACCATCCTGCTGCTTCTTTCCTGCAAAGTTTCCAACAAATGAATTGGAAAAAGGGAACAGCATACCTGTGCCTGGAATGAGATTAAGCAGCAACATCTGTATGTGGATTCTTGTGTTTCCTGGCAAGATGCCACAGGTGTGGCCAAGTAGATATTCCAAATGTTGGGAAGAGAAGCTGGGAGAGAAATACTCCCTTCTGCCTGCCTTTTGGGTTCCAAACAGGATTGATGCCCGGCACGACTGAAGTAAGCTGCCATCCTACGGGTACACAGGCCATCCTAAGGCTGCAGCAACATGTTGCACCATTACAGTAAATTATTTGCTTAGTCCTGTGTCTGTTACAGACCTCAGAGCTGCTGAAGCATTTCTAGTGTGTATAATCTGTGTGCTGGTTTTCTTCTTAACCTATCAATGGATGACTGAAAAAGGTCTTGTCTACAATGCTACTGACATACTGGAGAAAAACGGTTAATCTAAGATTAGTCTGACTTACTCATCTCTCAGAGAAATTGAGATGAATGAAATAAGAATTAATGTCCAGAAGCTGAAGCAACTTGGAGCAAGACAGAAATCAGGAGGAAAGTGCTGGGAGAATCCCTCAATCTGAGTTACCATAAGAACTGTCAAGGAAAGTGGCCTCTTGATTTTCTTAAAGAATAGAAGACATACTCCACACAAAACTTTGACATTTTATTTTATTATCACCTCAGTCTCTCTGTGCAGTCCCTCTAGGCTCAGCTCTGAATCTACATTTTTGCATGTATGTGTAAACAATGTGCTGTGTGGTCTTACCTGTGTGACTTACCTTTTTTGCAGAAGGTAGTTAACACATAAATTAATCACCAAGGAATATTGCCTTACATCAGTGGACTTGCTTTTAATTACAGCCTCTCCTCAAACTCCAAGTGTAAAAAGACATTTTATCCTTCAGTCTTCCTCTTAGAAAATGCTTACCTGGCTCCACAGATCTACAAACTGAGATGCTCAAGGTTCTCAGTGTTTCTACAAATACCATAGTTTCTAAACTGTATTTGTGTTTCTTCTTGTCTTTGTAAGCAGTTGGGTATCCTAGATCAAAACAGCTGTGGCAAGGTTGGCATACTTTTTACTAAACTACATTTTTTCAGGCCACATAAGTAGTGACTAATAAACATATCCAAAATTTTGTCTTGCACCATAGCCTGACTAGCTTTCATGCCAGCATAGTGACTACAAATGCCCATGGCAATTAAGAACCTAATTGCTTTGAAATTGTAAAAGAAGGTGTCCAGTATGTTATTTATTAATTTCAAAATCATGGTGGGATTTCAAGCATTCGTACAATAAAGTATTACAAAGTAATTATCCTGCATTCCAGTCCAGCACTGAAATTCTTGGTCCTGAGAATAGAAAATATTCCTGTTCTGAAAGAAGTCCCATTTCTCACTTACTTTATTGCAAGTGGTAGCTTATACAATATTTCATTTAGTGTTTAATAAATCAGACTTTTTCCTTCTAAAGAAAAAATGGTGTATGTTCTAATGGGAGTTTTTCAAACAACCATTTCAGTTCCAAGAAGCAAATCCTGACTTTTAAAATAATTATTTTCTTGTCTTCAGATTGCTTTCCTTCAAAAAAAAAAAAAAAAAGAGTTGCTTTTTCCCAGGAATGGTTTAACTGAAAGCTAATTAATTTCTCCTCTCTTTCCATTATAATTATACACTGCTCCTGACAAATGCAATAAGCTGAGGGGTACAGAAGTGGTTAGTTTTGTCCCACTCTTGTTTCAAGAATTTCCACTACAGTTTACATGCTTTCTTCCTCATGTATTGTCTTACTTGGATGCTGAGTGAGACTCCTGAGCACCGGATGTTCAGTAACTTTCCTGTAATTCAAGAGGTGAAGCCCAGTCTTGGCATACTTCCACTGTATCCAGTAAAGTTTTAATCGTTCTGCGGAGTAATCAGCAAGTAGCTCAGCTAGCTCTGAGCTAGTTCTCACTGTGGTGCTTGTGAAATGGAAACTCCTGGTGACGTGACATGACTACTCAAATATTTTAGGTAGATGGAAAGTATGATTACTGAACACCAAGTTACCTGAAATTTCTTGCTTTTGCTGGCGGGGTATTTATCGGCGTATCAGCAGAGTCATTTGTTAAAACCCGGCGCTTTTCCCGGGATCCGGCGTGCTTGCCCTAGTTGCTGCGATTTCTCCGGTTAACTGCCGCAGTGCCGCCGAGGCGCAGCAGCGCCGTGAGCCCGGCGGCCGCGCCCCCACACCAGAGGGCTCCGAGGGCGCCGCGCCCGCAGCCGCCGTGCCTCCGTGAGGCGCTCCCCGGGCGCTGCTCCCTCCGAGGCAGCCGGGAGGGCTCGATGGCGCGGCGAAAGCCCAGCCGGGAGGGCTCGATGGCGCGGCGAAAGCCCAGCGGAACCTCCCCGGCACGGAGGCTCCGCGGCCCGGCGGCGGCCGGGAAGGTTTGGCGGCGCACCGCGGCGGAAGGGGGCGGGCACCAACGTGTCGGGGACGGCTGGGCCTGGCTGCGGCAGGGCTCCGCGGTCTGTTCGATGTGCTGCGGCTCTGTTCAGCCTTCCTCGGCTGCCCTCGCTGTTCTTAGCCCCCTTCGGCCCTTCTCACCCCCCTCAGTGTCTCTCGGCTCCTCTCAGACCCCTCTCACCCCTATCTTCTTCCCGCGGTCCCCCTCGTCACCCCTGAGCCCTCTCGTTTCCCCTGGTCTCCCTCAGCCCCCGCGGAGATGGATGACGAACCCGAGCGGACCAAGCGCTGGGAAGGAGGCTACGAAAGAACATGGTATGTTCTTTCCCCCCTCACCTTTCTCTCCTTTCTGGCAAAGGAGGGGGAAAAACCTCCCTTCTGCCCACCGTAACAGTCTGTTCTGCGTAGGGAAATTCTCAAGGAAGACGAATCTGGGTCGTTGAAGGCAACCATCGAGGACATTCTCTTCAAGGCAAAGAGGAAAAGGTACGTGGTGTGGCTACGAGCCTGCTAATAGCACTGACTTGTCAGCTATAAGCGCTTGATCATCCTGAAACTGGCTCCTGTGGGATGAATTAAGCATAAGGCATGCCTGCAGGATGTTTTTTATAGCCTTTCAGAGGGGCAGATGCATGCAAAAAAAAAAAAAAAAAAGAAAGGTGAAATATTAATTTTTATCTTTAAACATTGAATGTGTACTGGCTATGT